CCGGCACCACGTTCACCCGGTGGGCCGTAATAAATGACATGTACTGTCCCTGACCGTTAGTTACAGCTCACACGTCGGCGCTGCCGTGCACTTTGGCAGAGACCGACATGCTCAAAGACTGGCCCCCACCATCTCTTCTCATGTGAATGCAGGGGGCTGGCCCACTGCCTTTTTTTGGCGAAGAAAGAAATGACGGCTTGGCACTCTCCACACGCGGCGCGGGGCACAAGCCATCATATTTCTTGGAAAGGTGCTGAGTCCACCCACTTGGAAAGGGAGGGACACTGCAGCACCAGCAACTTGGACAGAAGTGGACGTTCAGCTTTTGCACCATCGGGTGCTATGCTCGCAAATCTGTTGTCTCTTGGAAAACGGATTCCAAGAAAGATGCTGACGGAATCATGTGAAGAGGAGGTGTAGCAGGAGAAGGAGCATCTGAACGAGCGGAAAGATGCCAACGAGCGACAACTCCATCAGCAGAGGTGTTGGAGCCTTGACTAGGGCTGATTAAGGGCGATTGACGTCGGGTGACGGAGCAAGTAACGGAAGAGCGGGTGATGGATGCGGGGGGCTGGGGCAGGCAGGAACCGCACCGTATCTTTATCACGGTTTTCCCAGGCCACCAAATTGGCTGACGCTATGCATATGCTGACGCAACGCTGTAGTCCCAACATGGGCTCCCTCGCTGGCCACGCTGGACTTTCTGGCCACATTAGTCGACATACGATACGTTCGTTTACTTCTCGGGCGGGCTTTGACGAAAAATTGCCACACCGAAACGATGTACGAAACTTTGCCCCCGATACTCCTCACTGGCTGACTGCTACTTCCTCCGTGCACACCGGCACCACTAACTGGCCGTGGTGGTAGGCTGCAGTGGAGGGCTGGTGCTCTCTTCTCCGTGGCCGTTTGCCTCCACTGGCACTGTCTGCGACCTGCTTGCCTCACTATAGGCAACCACCGACTGTTTTGCTCGCTGCCAAGCTGCACCGTCTTCTCCTGATGATGCGGAAGCAATAGCCTGTTGACGACGAGGCTGCCAAGTGCGATCAAGCCTTCACATCCATCATCAATTAGGGTCTCCGCCTCACTACTAGCCCCCTCGGCTGCGTGTGGGTCAGGAGACAGACCTGTCTCTATGACCTGCTACCGAGCCACTCTCCTCAGCCACTACTTCTTTGCCCTGGCTGCATGAAGAGGCGGATGTCTCCCCCCGTTCCTGATCCGCCCTCTGTTAGCTCTTCCTCACTGTACAGTGGGGCTGAGCCCCCACAGCATGCGATACTTCGATTGGTGAGGGAACACCAAAGGACAGGGGCAGGTAGGTGGGCACGTGATTTCAGTGGGCTTGCTCCCGGGCCATGGCAACTACACGGTTGTGTCTGACGTACCCACGACCGTTGGCTGTAGGTGTCAGAGGTGACCCTGGGGAGAGTGGAAGACGACCGAGCCAACCAATCGATGACGGCAGGGTGTTGTCGGTGGAGACACGGACCGCTGGATGACACCGGGAGCACTGGCTCTGGCTGCGCGGACTAGTGCTGCCTACGACCACCCTTCCTCTGCTGCCACGTCTGCTCGCTCCTAAAAACATTGCCTCCTCTGGCCACTCCTCTTGCATGTTGTCTGTCATACTCTTTAATTCAACGATTCTGTTGTCCCTGAGTAACAATTCTGAGAAAGTCTGTCCCATGAGTAACTAATTTCTGTGTCCCTGAGTAACAATTCTGTGTCCCTCAGTAACAATTCTGTGGTCCCTCAGTAACAATTCTGTGTCCCTCAGTAACAATTCTGTGTCTGTCCCTGAGTAACAATTTCTGTGTCTGTCCCTGAGTAACAATGACTGTATTCTGTAACCCCATTTCTGTGGGCGAGCCCTGAGTAACGGTATTCTGTGTCTGTCCCCTCAGTAACCAATTTCTGTGTCCCTCAGTAAACAATTCTGTGTCTGTCCCTGAGTAATCAATTCTGTGTCTGTCCCCTGAGTAACAATTCTGTGCCCTCAGTAATTCCAACAATTCTGTGTCTGATCCTGAGTAACAATTCTGTGTCATGTGTCCCTGAGTAACAATTCTGTGTCTGTCCCTGAGTAACAACTGAGTAAACAATTCTTGGGCCCTGTGTTCCCTCAGTAACAATTCTGTGTCCCTCAGTAACAATTCTGTGTCTGTTCCCTGAGTATAACAATTCTGTGTCTGTCCCTCAGTAACAATTCTGTGTCCCTCAGTAAACAATTCTGCCTCGACCCTCAGTAACAAATCTGTGTCCGAGTATTGCCTCCTCTGCCATTCTGTGTCTGTCCCTGAGTAACAATTCTGTGTCTGTGGTTGTCCCTGAGTAACAATTCTGTGTCCCTCAGTAACAATTCTGTGTCCCTCAGTAAACAATTCTGTGTCTGTCCCTCAGTAACAATTCTGTGTCTGTCCCTCTGAGTTAACAATTCTGTGTCTGTCCCTGGAGTAACAATTCTGTGTCTGTCCTGAGTAAACAATTTCTGTGTCTGTCCCCTGAGTAACAAAATTCTGTGTCCCTCAGTAACAATTCTGTGTCCCTCAGTGAAACAATTCTGTGTCTGTCCCTGAGTAACAATTCTGTGTCCCTCAGTAACAATTCTGATGTCCCTCAGTAACAATTCTGTGTCTGTACCTTTCTGTTGGTCATGTGAGTAACAATTCTGTGTCTGTCCCTGAGTAACAATTTCTGTGTCCCTCTCAGTAACAATTCTGTGTCCCTCAGTAACAATTCTGTGTCTGTCCCTCAGTAAACAATTCTGTGTCCCTCAGTAACAATTGTGTCCCTCAGTAAACATTTCCTTCTGTGTCCCTCAGTAACAAATTCTGTGTCTGTCCCTGAGTAACAATTCTGTGTCCCTCAGTAACAATTCTGTGTCCCTCAGTAACAATTCTGTGTCTGTCCCTGAGTAACAATTCTGTGTCTGTCCCTGAGTAACAATTCTGTGTCCCATTCTGTGTCCCTGAGTAACAATTCTGTGTAACAATTCTGTACCCTGAGTAACTATTCTGTGTCCCTCAGTAACAATTCTGTGTGTCCCTCAGTAACAATTCTGTGTCTGTCCCTGATTCTGTGTACAACAATTCTGTGTCTGTCCCTGAGTAACAATTCTGTGTCCCTCAGTAACAATTCTGTGTTCCTCAGTAACAATTCTGTGACCCCTCAGTAACAATTCTGTGTCTGTCCCTGAGTAACAATTCTGTGTCCCTAAGTAAACGTTTCTGTGGCCCTAAGTAACGGTTTCTGTGTCCCTCAGTAACAATTCTGTGTCCCTCAGTAACAATTCTGTGTCTGTCCCTGAGTAACAATTCATGTGTGTCCCTAAGTAACGGTTCTGTGTCTGAGTCCCTAAGTAACGGTTCTGTGTCCCTCAGTAACGGTTCTGTGTTCCTCATGTTCTGTGTCCCTCAGTAACAATTCTGTGTCTGTCCCTGAGTAACAATTCTGTGTCCCTAAGTAACAATTCTTTCTGTGGCCCTAAGTAACGGTTCTGTGTCCCTCAGTAACATTTCTGTGTCCCTCAGTAATGATTCTGTGGTCCCTGAAAGTAACTAAGTAACGTTTCTGTGGCCCTAAGTAATGTTTCTGTGGCCCTAAGTAACGTTTCTGTGGCCCTAAGTAACATTTTCTGTGGCCCTAAGTAACGTTTCTGTGGCCCTAAGTAACGTTTCTGTGGCCCTAAGTAACATTTGGGGGGGCCCTGTTTTCTGGGCCCTAAGTAACGGTTCTGTTGGCCCTAAGTAACGTTTCTGTGGCCCTAAGTAACGTTTCTGTGGCCCTAAGTAACGTTTCTGTGGCCCTAACTCTCTCCCTCAATACAGCCAGGTCTGCCTCTCTTGAATGACTGGAGGCAAATGGAGAATTCTAAATGGCCGCAATTTATAGCTCGACCATTACACAGTGCTGGCTGGCTGGCTGCTGATTGGCTAATGCGATCACATGTCATGAATTGAATGCATTATGGGTCAGCGTGCCTTGTCTGCGCGCCTTCCCAGAGATCCCCGCTCTCCGTCGCCGCACATGTCGCCAGCCATTTTAGGAAAAAAATTTCGATTGGCGCATCCGAAGTCTGCTAATTTTCGGATTCGTTGCGAATCGAAATTTTCCTAATATTCTAAAACGAATTCTGCACCTGTGCATCATGAAATTGAATTTAGAATTCAAGACATTGGCATGGCAATCAAACATTTTCAGGGTTCTATTACGAAATGTGCTGAGTACATAAGGGTACTGTTAACTTCTCTGAATTTCCACATGAACTTCTCAATAAATTTCTCTGGGTGTATGGCCAGCTTAAAGCTGAACTTCAGTCCCGCTCTTTACTGGCTCCGCTCCCTCCAGCACCGCCATTATAGCGCAGATATGCCAATGGGCTCTGCCCAGTGTTCAGGTCCTGGCTATGCCCTTTGGTGCATCTGCGCTCACACAAGTGATTTTCTATGCATGAGCAAAGGTTTGGGATTTCCCTTACAGCCATCTTTGCAAATGCATCTGACACCAAAGCCCTGCAGCACATCTGCACACGCGCAAGAGGTGGGGAGGAAAAAAAAATCCATAATTCTTGCTTATTGGAGAAATATAGAAGTGCCAAAATACATTAAATCAGCTTAAAAAAAATAAATTTATGTCCAACTGTAAGAGGGTCGGAGAAGGAGGCAGGGCAACATGACGTGACATTTAGGGTGAAGGCCCAGTTCAGTTCAAAACTTCAGCTAAATAGAAGAAAAAGAAAAATCTTCACTCTATTGGACTCTCTTCTAGCAACAGCCCTACGTCTCCTTAAAGCCATCTGGCCCCCAAACATTTGCTAGGAAAAGGAGTTATCATTGAGAGGAAAGGGACAGGGGAAACTGTACAAAGACATGTAGGAATCTGAACTGCAGTTAGACAAACTCTTTGTAGTTTATATAGCAGTCTTTGAAAGAGGGTATGCTTTTTCTGCCCATCCTTTTGGCTGTAATATAATTTTTTTGGGGGTGTTGTTGTAGGGAAAGCCTCGCCCTGTGGTCACCTGGCTAAAGGATGGGCAGCCCATTGATCCAAAACAGATCGGTATCAGGAACAGTGAAGCTGACACCATCCTGTTCATCAGATCTGCCGAGAGGCATCACTCTGGAGAGTACCAAGTTAAGATCCAGATAGAGAACTGTGAGGACTCCGCTACCGTCTGTATCCAGATTGTGGGTAAGTGGCTATAACCTGAGGGAGACCTACACTGACAGCTTCAAGACCTAGTAAAACTATTGCATTTGTTTCAAATGTGATTTTATAAGGAATCCTTATCTTCTAGACAAGCCCAGTGCTCCTCAGAAGTTGAAGATTGTGGAAGTATGGGGATTCAATGTGGCTTTAGAATGGGCTACACCCCAGGATGATGGAAATACTGAGATAACGGGCTATACCATTCAAAAAGCAGATAAGAAGACCATGGTGAGTTCTTTGGGGGGGCCATATAATATTATGATGTCACACTGGGTCACTGTGGATCCAGAAGACTTTTTTTTTATTTTTTGCTTCTCTCTCCGTCTTATTTTCCAGTTCCACTTCACTCATTAGAATTTTATTTTCCTAAAATTTAAAATTAGTTTAAATTTTTTTAAATAATTGACAAAAGGGACAGTACTTACAATATGAAGTGTCTCTTGTGCCGCTGACTGCTCTGTTAAAATCTGAAGTTCTCTGCCACCACTTAAACCCCTGCAAATGTAATCTTGCCCTGCTGTGGGGGTTAGTACAATTGGCTAGACCTGTCCTAGGCATTCATCAAGAGTGCTGACTATGCCAACCCTTTGTGCCCCCTCCTCCTTTCATAGAAGCTGTACTGTAGGTTCCATCAATAAAGTAAAGGATGGGCTTGTAGTCCGGTGCAGTCTATTTGGTCCACTGCAGGTGGGACCCAACCTCAGTGGCTTTGCAGAAGGAAAGAAAGTCAAGAGGAGCATGGTTTACTGGGTCACAGGGGGAAGCTATCCGATTGGATGCTGGCCCCCCATGCGACTTTGGCAGTCATCTTGGGCCAGGCAGAGTCTACTTAAGACCCTGGTTCCTGGGCTTGGCATGCATTTCGCATGTGGCTAGAGTAGGGACAGGTATCCCGTCTGTCAGAGAGAGTGCTAAGCATCAAGGAAAGGTTTCAGAGTAGTAGGGAAAATGCAGGGGCACACCATCCTACCCTCCACATGGGTATGGACCAGCCAGGATGCATTTCGCTCCTCTAGACAAGCACACCTGAGACCTTCTGCTGTGGATAAATCACTGTTACATCGTGAATGTTCCCAGTCGGGTTGCCTTCCCGTCGGGTTTGCTCTGTATAGCCATACATCAGTTGCAATATATTCCTGTACCTGGACTGCACCTGGAGTGATTTCTGTCACTGCACCTACCCAGAGGCTGATGAATGAAAAAAGGTCTGCCTCCTCCATTCATAGAATGCTTCTCATTCATGGAACCTAAACCTGTAGTACAGCTGAAAATAAAATAAATAAAAATAATTAGAAAAAATGTAAATGCCCCCCGTCATCGCCTGTACACACCCCAATGCAAAACATGGAGCGTTAAGGTGCACACATGTATGTAAACATAATTTGCGCTACACACATAAGGTATCGCCACTAACACTAGAGTGAGAGTTATCATTCTAGCCCTGCCTATGAGGAATATTGGGTACCAGGATCAGACTGACCATTTGGAAACTCGGGCACTGCCTGAGGGCCCGGGGTCAGTAGGGGGCCCCATGAGATGCCCCTGGTACCTTTTTCATAGGCTTTTTTGAATTTGGGCAAGGACACAGGGGCCCCATGATCCCCTATTGCCCAGGGGCCCCATGAGTTGTCAGTCTGCCCCTGTTGGGTACCATTGTTTTTTTAAATTGCACAGGAACACACAATGATAAGGTTTGTAATGTCTGAGATCTATCTACTCAATACCTTATCTTTTATATTTTACCCAATAATTGGGTATTATATTGTATTTGCACTAAAATTCATTTTAGTGTATTTTTACCTGAAAATATGCATTTGATATATGGCTACAAACATTGCACGGAATAAAAAATTGCAATGTCACTATCTTTATTCTCTCTGGTTTATAAATATATATAATATGTTCTACTTTTATATATAAAATATATAATTATTTAGGGGGTTTAAAGTCATTTCTAAAAAAAACAGATTTTAACATGCAAAAAATTTTAAAATTTCCCTGGTAGACAAGTGGTTAAAGCCCAATTACAGGCAAATAAAGTTATTCCTTGAAGTGGGGCTGTGCCCTCACTGCAAGGGATAAAAGCGTATTTTATCTAGGTGAGAGGAAAAACAGCTATACTTCATCCTCCGCTCCCTCAGCAGGCGGCACTACCCTATGATTCGGCAGTGGACCATCCCTCAGTGTCATCATGTCCAATGCAGGGCTATGAGAAGAGAAATATGGACAAACAAAACATCTGCAATCACCATACTGGATGCAGCATTGGACTGATGTCCCCTGCTAGCTCAGTTCTTCCCCCCGCTCTGAGCAGAGGACTGTGACTGTCAGTCTTTGGCTCTCTGTTCTGCCCCCCAACCCCAGCGCTGTGCTTTGGAGGGGGCAGTAGTGGCTGGTCCAGGCTATCGGCAGAGCCAGGTGCCAGTCCAGGCTTCTAGATGGATCCCAACCATATGGTTGTAATCTTTTTAGAGCCTGGACTGGCAGTGACATCAGTCAACAGCGGACTTTAGCCTGCTGTCAGCTGAAAACGGGACACAGGAGTGTAGAACTAACTGCTCCTGTTATCCCCATGACAAGTATAGCCAAAAAAAGCTTTGGCTATACTTCTCTTTTAATTTTACATAAAAGCACAACACACTTTTATGACTATAGGGTAAATTGCAGCCATCCTGGAAAGAGCACCCCAAACATTCTGAGTAGGAATTCAAATGTGAATCAGGCTTTTTTTAACCATGATATTTATATTCTTTTCTCACCACTTACTTCCTCAGGAATGGTTCACAGTCTTTGAACACTACAGACGTCTGAACTGTGTAGTGTCTGACCTGATCATGGGTAATCAGTACCACTTCCGAATTTTCAGTGAGAACATGTGTGGACTCAGCGAAAAACCTATAACATCCAAGGACTTTGCAAGCATACTGAAGTCAGGTAAGATGTTGCCTTTAGGCTGATGACTATACAATTGCCCACATACCTGTACAGATGGGGCATGTATCCTTGTATATGGTAATCCCTCTGGCTAAAATGATGTCCCCTACTATCTGATATCTTTGGCCTTGCTTTTAAAAGGAAACCAATTGGGACTGAAATTTTCCATTGTTGATCTCTCCTTCTGAATGTGCTTTTTGTCTGGTCATTATGCTGACCTGGAACAGGTATGCAGATCAGGATTTTTCTGTCTTTACCTGTTGTATATTTGTTATGGGTCAGCGATAGTAGTGAACAGGGGCGGACTGACCATTTGGAAACTCGGGCACTGCCCGAGGGCCCGGGGTCAGTAGGGGGCCCCATGAGATGCCCCTGGTACCATTTTTATAGGCTTTTTTGAGTTTGGGCAAGGACACAGGGGCCCCATGAGTTGTCAGTCCGCCCTTGGTAGTGAAGCAGCTTTTTCAGCATAACAGCCAGATGACTAGAAGGTAGTCACAAATGGTGGTCCCCACCTCTCTCTCAGTATAGGTTTCCTTTACTAAAGAACTTTTTGGGAGTATGTTGCATAGAGGAAGGCAAGATTTTTTTTCCTCACCTTTTCTACTGTTCTGGGTGGGTTCTGTTGCTTTTCTCCTGATCTTGCAGATAGTCACTACTTGTTTGCGTATGTCGGACATATTTATTTCTGGTCCATTGAGTGACACAGGAAGTATTTAGCATTCAGGTTATTCTGCCACGTGAACGAAAGTCTGGACACTGGCAAAAAAAACACAGTAGGCTAGCTCAGTAGTAGCTCAGGACAACTCCTACTACTACAGCATTCATCAGTTGTTTGCTAGTGTTCTAGGAGGATGGACATCTTTTCTTCAGCTCTGCTGCGTGAAACACAAACAAGATATTTTTTTTTGCTCACACATTTTTTTCTTCCTCTTCAATTTTGTTCTTCTCTACATTGCTGCTAAACCTTGTCTCTAGGATTGCAGCTATCCAATGTGATTGTCCTGAGCTTAACTTTTGAAGCTTCACTGCACTGGACATTGTGTGGATAGCCTGGAAGTGATTCCACTGTGTCCCGTGTGGTTTCCATGCTTTGGTAAACGTTAGCGGCAAAGTACTTTCAACTTTGTCTCATTTCAGTACACATGCTTAGGGCACTTTGTTTTAAGTGCTGGACTGTGGAGCCCTTGTGTAAGAAGCATTTGATCTGCATGCCTTTCAAGGTACAATGTTTTTTGGTATCAACTCTTGATACTTTTATTAAGAATACTACTGGAGGCCAGAACACCCATCGTCCAGAAAGAAAGAAGTCCATCTTCCTGAAAGAAATAAGGCTAAGGAACAGACTGCAAAATCTTCCCTTTCTCTGGCTGTTAAAGACCCTTCCGTTCCTCCACTCCCTCAGTGTTCTGCAAACTTAATTCCCAGTCCACCTGCCAGATATGACATTCCAATTTCCCTCCACTGATTGGATGTGGATCAGACTTTGAGAGCCTCTCAGCAACACCTCCTTTCAGAAAGACAGATTCCCTTTTTAATAAAGTATATCTTTTTATAGGGTCCATTGAGGGCCACAGGTCTCACCCCTCCTGGTTTATGATCATGCTGTGTGTACTGCTATGTTAAAAAAAAAAAATACTGAGACATGCTCATAGTAGGAGAGTTATCCTGGCCTGTTTTTACAGTGTCCAATCCTTCTGTAGGCAGCAGTGTAACCTAAAGGTTAAAGACGTCTTGTATCTCTCAATTGACTAAGTAAAGGACTTTACAGTGTGTACAAAAATTGTATCTTCTATTTATATCAATATTACATACATGTTCTTCCGCACTTGGAGGCTCTATCCATGCTGATAGTTGTCACACACATCCACTGTGACATTACATCCAGACATGATGACTTTTTGAGGAGCTACAACCAGATAATCAAAGCTAGATCTATTGTACTGATGATACTGATTGTTATTGGCCATTTTGCCCCTAGATGTAGTCTTGTCCAAGGGCATAACTATAGCAATAGCAGACCCTGTGGCTTTTGTGAAGCCTGGAGCTTTGTGGGTACACAGTGATTTATGAAGCTAACAATGGTGCCTGATTTTTACATTTGGGTGAAATTAATGTATGTTTGAGAACTTCTATGCAGTTATGAAAGCAGTTATTACACTATATTGGTAGAGAAATGTCCCTTGAGATTAAGATTTGAGAGACCGAGGGCCCCTAATAGTTTTACTCTGGGGTCTTCACCTAGTTTGGGCCCTGGTCTTGGCTCAAAAGAAGAAGTTAATGGCTCTTTTAGAAAATAAGACACATTTGTGGTGATCAGAGAACAAAGGAGATGTGTTGAGAAGGTGGAGATGTTCCAGACACTACTAGATTTCTTTGAAGTACTGTGTCAAGAGAGCAATCTCTTTAATGTCAAAGATCTCATATGTTAGGGGCCAGAAATGCTATGAAGAAAATACTCTATCATGAATGTCCTAGCTCTGATCCCTGAAAATGACACAAGACTCACACACAGCCAACAGTAGTAACTAGATAAGGGCCAAGTATGAATTTTATTACCACACCGCAAATTCTACTGTATTTTTCCAGAATTTACAATAAAGTATAATAATCTGCTTGGCAAATGGCAGGCACCAAGAGAAGCCATTGTACTATGTTCACATTACAACTTACACAACTGTAATTCAAAACTAGAGGAACAAAAGCTGACTTTTCTATAAGACCTAGTCAGGATTCCAGCTGTTAATAGCAAGGGTACAAACAGAAGAATGACTATGGCTGCCAGGAGAAAATTAGAGACTTTTATAGAACATCCCTTTAAGGGCTTGTTCAGATAGCTACAGCTTGTAGCCCAACATTTACATGTGTGTTTTCAACACATTGACGGGTTCTATTCATTACAGAGCTGTCATTCACTCACAGCACAGGCTATTGCTCTAGCAGTTCTCAGCAGTCATAAAAGGAGCCCAGCAAGGTATTGTGTTTGAATGACAGCTCCGTTCATTATAGTGATGAATGGATTCTATCAAACAATCCATATAAAGACTGAAAATTCCAGACGATGAGCCGCTGCCTGTCAAGCTTATCACCTGTCTGAGGGAACCATAAGTCTCTCCTTTCAACAACAATTAAGTAAAATTAATTCAGCCCATAGACAAGGAGATGTTTTCACAAAGGACAAGGATCTGAGAGTCTCTTAGCATAATCTTTGGGTTCATGAATAGTAAACAAGCAATTTCAAAGGGGAAAAACTACCAAAATAATAATTTTCTTGAGCAGCTGTTTCTGTTCCAAATAGCAACATGTCTGCCTAGGAAATTAAATTTTATTATTTCATCTCTGGACAGAAGTAGTTTTTTTCTTTATACTGTATTTTCCATACATCTCCTTTCAAACAAACAAAAAAACATACATGCTCACCTCTATATTGCAGCTGTCCCATGTCCAAAACCAAGAACTGAGCGATCACATGACCGCTGATCGCTCAGTTTTTCAGTTGGATCAGAACGGAGAGCAGTGACTGTCAGTCACCATTCTCTGCTCTGCCCCTCCAGTGCTCGCTAGGAAAAGTGTCCTTTCAGAGCCTGGAGCGGCTGGCATAGCCTGCTATCAGCTGATCCTGGGTCAAAAGAGAGCAAAAGTAAGTTAGTTTTTTTTTCTCTTCTATATATTATCTGCTTTTAAATATTTTTGAATATTTCTTAATATTTTTTAACACTTCTGCAAAATTAGATGTAACAAATCAAATGTACGGATTCTGTTATTGCCTTGTGAGGCAACTTGATTTTTGCTTAAATGTTTTTTATTTTCCTTTATATGTCGTATTTTATTGTTGTTCTGTTTTTCTTTTGTGTGTTATAAACATTTAAAGAATAAAATCTGGTTAAAAAAAAGAGTAAGTGAACTTTTGTGACCCAAAAATACCTTTGGCCATACATCTCTTTTAAAATACACCATAAGTGCATTCATGCATTTAATTAAAAAAAAAATAAAAAATAATTCAGGGGCATATTTATGAATCAGTGAATGTGACATTCACTGGGGTGAATAATTTACTTTACATGAATACACATTGACCAGGCAGATATGCATGCAAAAAGTGTTTGGTGAATGTGGTATTCACTGCTTTATAAATAGCCCTTAAATGGATCCTAAATGCATCTAGTATAAATGCCTGGGTCTGACCTGGTATCAGCTTGGTGTGATCCTCTAATCAGCAGCACTCAGGGACTGGGAGGCTGTGAGGGAGGGGAAGCACTTGGGGACAATGAGGTGTTCTGCATTCACATGTGCTAACATGGAACATGCTGACAGGAGGAGAGAGCAAAGAGATTGCCTTATCAGTTAGTCACTGCTTGGTTACTGTTCAATCACAGGCTGAGGGCAGGGAGTTGACCAGGGCTGCTGCTAGAACCCATGGGGGCCCCATACAGCCAGTCTAACAGGGTACCCCTCCTGCCCCCCCCCCCCAAACAACATCTACTAGTTTACTATGCTTCAGTAACGAATGAAAACAGTGAGTGATCGATCACTCATTGTGATCACTCAGGGAAGAAAAGGGCTGGTAAATGTGACATATTTATGGGACCCTTCCACCACTCCTCATCCTGAAGGATCCGAAGTGTGTTTTCCGTTGCTGGTGGGAAGGAGAGGAGGGTATCCGGCAGCACTGCGGGGGCTGGGGGCACACAGGGGCACCTGTGCAGCACTGGGAAACGTATGGTGCATAGGGAAGGTGATGGATGCGGTGGGTTGGCAATTACTGAAACCAGTCCCCTGTATGCCTCTTTTTGCAGCAGCTGATAGCCAGCGGGAGGGAGAGAAGAAGCCAGCTGCTGCAGAGAGATCTATACAGGGGATCAGTTCCAGTAACTGTCCCCCTTGCCTTGCTGATCACCTTCCCTGCCCACATCCAATTCACCCCGCTGGCCTGGGCCCTGTACAGAAGGACAGGTGGTACCCCCTTATCAACACAAACACAGCAAACTCTGTACTCCTGCACTGGGGATGGACTCAGCAAAGGCTATGGTAAAAATTCAGATGTTCCGGAATATGCACTCCTTGCTGCCCTCAACAGACCAGGGTAGTCTAAAGTCACTGGATACAAAGAAAGCAAAAAGGGGGCGCACCGGCAATGGACATACAGGACAAAGGCACATCACACTAAACAGCGGTGTCCAATCCACACTGCATATAAGTCCAAAATATTGAACCCTGGACTTCCAACTCGCTAACGCATTTCAAGGACTCAGCCTCTTCCTCAGAGCCAAAAAAATGTCTTATATTGGACTTATCTGCAGTGTGGTTTGGACACTGTTGCTGCTGTTTAGTGTGATGTGCCTTTGTCCTGTATGTCCATTGCCGGTGCACCCTCTTTTTGTTGTCTTTGTATCCGGTATCCCCTTATCCACAGCCCTGGAGTTGACTAAGCGGTGTTGTTCAATTGCAGCAGAAAAAAAGTCAGGTCAACCAGCTTGGCTTTGTTGTTTGACATAGCTGTGTATATCTCAGGACTGGCTAGACAAAAATGCTAATTATTTTGCAGATAAGACAGGTCTCATATACTGTATGTATTTAACTATTTAGATGTTTGCCTGGAGATGAGCTTTACAGTAAACCGATCATGAAAGAAATATAGGGCATGCCATTACTAACATCCTTATGTCCTCATGTCTTATGTATACTTGTCCCAAATTAGTAACTCAAAGAATTAAACCTGGGGATCAGCATGACTTATTAGTCCTCATGCACACGGGACGTTTTTACAGCAGCTGTTTTTGGCTTTTGACCTTTTTTTCTACAGCCAGTAAACCCCCCCAACATGTTATCCTCTGTGTCCATGCACACAGACTGGAATCAACGTCTTTTTGTCTGGAAAAAACCCAGGACTAGTGGAGGAGTTTTTTTAGCTGGAAAAATGCTCTAATGCTGAAAAATGCAGCAAAACTTGGTAAATTGTGGCAAACCAGCGGTTTTGGACTTTTTTTTTTTTTTTTTACAAAAAAACTCTAAAAAATGCAGCAAAACGCTAATACAAAACCGCTAAAAAACTCACGTTTTTAACATGAATTTATACAGCTAATGTTACCACACCCAGTGTACATGGAGCCTTAGGGAAGCTGCCATTTTCAGAAGGAGATCAGCAATACCAGCCTGTGTGTTTCCCTTATGATTAGTTTAGTTTATAAAAAAAAAAAAAAAAAGATACTTATAATTTCTACAAATCCCAACAAACAATATCCCCAATGTCAAAAACAGTCAAATAAGCACAAGATAAGCAGGAGTAGAAGCAACAATATATTCTATAACAAGTTATACTGTCATAGCTTTTAATTAATACACTAAGGGATTTTTCACAGTCATTATTGAAGTATAATTCCCCCCTGCAATTAACAGGACAGTAATTCCAAGTGTGAGCTGACAAGTTTACACATTGGTAATATTGGTTTGAAAAAAACATTCTGCTGGGATGCATAGACTATCCTACAGCTCAAATTGTTATTCAGGGTTTGCGAGGGTCTCCCTCATACTGGAACAAAGACAAGTCTTCCTGTCAGCCTTCACATTATATGTTCTCTTTTCCCTGGGGGAGATCAAACTGAAGCAATGCTTGCCATAGGGTTCCATGTTATGTTTACATTGAAGTATTCCTGCTATTTTTTCTACATCGTATCCTGTATCATGTGTGTAAAACATTGCCTAGCTCATTGCAGGAAATCAATCACGTCTTTGTTCCACTAGAAGGAAATGATGATCGGTTTAAGGATATAGGGGCATCTTAGCTTGCTGATCACATGCTTTTTTCTTCTTTTCCCCAGGCACTGAATACAAACCCCCCAATTACAAGGAGCATGAGTTTGGGGAGGCTCCCAAGTTTACGCATCCACTTGTGAACCGCTCTGTGGTTGCAGGATACAATGCGACTCTCAGCTGTTCTATTCGTGGAATACCCAAGGTAAGAGCTTTGTCTTGTTTCCATACATATACAGACTTGGTCACCTATGGAAAGAACATTTTAGCCTTTAGAAAGTATTATTATACAGGATTTATATAATGCCAACAGTTTGCTCAGCACTTTACAATATAACGGGAGACAATACAGCAACAATACAGTTCAATACAATAGGGTTAGGAGGGCCCAGCTCCTTGGAGCTTACAATCTAAGAGGTGCATTTCATTACCAAGTCACTTCTCAACTTGCTACACTGTCAGGAACATATTAGCCTTAGGGTTGGTGTCACCCAGTGTGGTAACACGTGGTGTCACCCCGGTCCCGAGCTCTGTGTTGGGAGACAAAAGGATGTCCTGTGCAGGGACTGGCCAGTGATGTGTGATGCAGAGGGGCAGACTCTGGGCAGGGTCATTACCAATCATGGACTGACAGGTAAAGTAGGAGCTGTCCAATCAGAGGGCGGGGGCGGGCTCCGTTTCGGTGTGTATAGGGGACAGGCTGGGTGTGAATTGGCCTGCAGCAGCCTCTGTAGTCCCGGGGATCGGATACCCCCCCCCATCCCCAGCTGGGCCCCAGCATCTCACCATCCGCAAGGCATGGGTGTTCCTGGGCCTACAGGAGGGATGTCCCCTGTGATGGTGTCGCCAATGGAATAGTAGTCTTGTCCTATAGGCTGCAGAGCCAAAGAGGCAGCTTTTCCATGAACTTATTATGAAATTTCCATCACCAGTGGGAACAGTCAATCCTATATAAGGTTTACTCGGTATCACAATATTCTAAGTCAGATTAGGACCTGAAAAACAGGTACGTTGTATAAAATAAGGTCATTCAGCAGAAGGATGTTACATAGGGTGCCAAAAAGCTATGTGCCTTTAAGCTCCAGTGATGGACATCTAGCCCTAGTGGTACTATATATTGAGGGGATTGTGTCGGAAAGGAGCAGAGCAATTTGTGTGAATAAGGACATGATGCCTTTTGTGAAGTAGTTTTTAGATGCTTTGGGAACGTGTTCATAATTTATGGAAAAAGTGAGCACTGCATTATTAAGTGGATTGGGCCAGCAACTATATCTTGGCGGACACTGTACCAGTTATATGTGGGAAGTGTGTGCTGAGGCATTGGACAAGGCTTGTGCATAGCCAATCTATGACTCATCTACATTCATGAGCTGTAGGTAATTACTGAAAGAACAAGGTTACAGTTATGGTTGGGGAAGTCGAGTTTCTTGGTCTGTGATTATGGCAGAAGCACAACCATCCCGGAATTGCTGCTTCTTTGAATGAAGAGGTGTTAGGCGAGGCACTGTGAACATCCAGCACAGAGGTTCTATCATAAACTGTAATAGACAAGTGTAACCAGGAGATGCAGAGCAGACCCATAGCATGGGAAGCGTATTGTGACTTTCCCAAAAAGTATCCTCTACAAGGACAAGAGTCAAAGACTGGGCAAAGAGAGACCTAGACCAGTGTGCCTAACCAAGGACTGAAAAGCCAAAAATGAATAATAAAACACAATGATATACTAATGTGTAAACTCATTAGTCCCAACACTGTATAAGAAATTAACCAACATGCTCCTCAAAGTAGAACAATGAGTAATAGCCCTGAAGTGGCAATTATTGCATATCCCAGCTGAACAAATGATTCTGAGGATGAACACAGTTCTAATAATGGAATGTACAGCCCACATTACACAGGATACATTACACCAATTCCACGCAAAGTTGGGCCCTAGTTAACCCTAAGGAGCCATCTGTAATGCCAGTCTAGCATACTTCATTACTACCACCAAGACAAATCCCAAGCTGACAAGGGGAAACATGTTAGATGCATGCACTTTTACATTTGCTTTACACCCTTTTCGTTATACTGATACTGTTAGTTTTAACTAGTCCTGTTGTTGATAATACATTAATATATTGTAGCTTGACTAGTTATCCATAAAAAACAAAAAACATTGGTAATTGAAATACTAATACAATACTATAGAATTGAAAGACAGAGAAAACAATAAAAGGGAAATTTTCATTGGGCCAGATGGTGTTGCAAATGGGTCTAGATCTCTAGCTATAAGCCTGCTAAATTCTGTAGCTTGACTAGCCATCAAAAAACCTTTGGTAATTGGAATTCTAAATATGAAATAGTAATACAGTACAATACTTTAGGACTGAAAGACAGTGAAAATGCTAAAGGGATATTTTGATTGGGCAGAAGGTGTTGCAAATGGGTCAAAAAATCTCTAGCTATGAGCCTGCTAAATTCCAAAAAGTTTATTTTTTTCATTTGCATTGCACCTTTCTGGATTCCCATTCATTCTAGGTGTAGGCCAACTTCAAAGTCATCCTGTTATTTCAGACAGTCATGCAAAGGAAAGCTGCTCTCCATGTATTCCATATGGAACAATAAAGTTAATTCAATGCCAGAATACATTTTCCTTTGAATGACTCTTCCATTCCCAATCTGAATGTACCTGTATTTGTAGCTTGTTTTGGTTTGTCAGCATTGCTATGTTGGAAACAGTATGAGACTTTCATTAAAAGAGATGTTGACATGCGAAGAGACTTTTCTTTTTAAATTAATTTCTTTATTGATTTTCAAGAGATGTAATATAATTCCCACACTTCCTGACCTTTTCTATCATCTCTTGAATTTCTGCAGCCCAAGATAACTTGGTACAAGAACAAGATGGACCTGTCAGGCGAGGCTCGTTACAGGTCTTTCAGTAAGCAGGGAGTACTGACCCTAGAAGTGAGAAAGCCTAGCCCCTTCGATGGAGGTGTCTACAGCTGCAAAGCCACGAATGAACATGGAACAGCAGAGACTGAATGCAGACTGGAAGTCCGCTGTGAGTTTTGGATATATGATCTATATACAAGCACAGCTCCATAAATGTTCACACCAACCCATACTTATACCATAAGTGCAATTGTCAATCACACCCATTGGACTGGACTAAACCAAAGATCATCTTCAAGTCACCATACTACCACACATTTCCAGTGAACTGGCAACTTCCCTTGAAGTGTGCCCATTTCATAGAATGTCAACCTGCCTGGTTTTGGGCAAGAATTACACTTTGAGAATACCCCATATACAAGTCAGGGCTTAAATGTGAAAACGAGAAGCTCTATAAATACAATGAACCTTGCTGATGAATCTGTCAGAAATTAGAACAGTTCTTGGTGGGAGAAACCAAACAGATCCTGAAATTTGCTGATATTTCTCTAGATAAATGGAAAGCAAAATGTAATTGGCCGCTTTGCTGTCAAGTGGTGGGTACATGTCTGTTGATACATGGATTTAACACACATTTGTCCATAAATGCAAATGATGAAAGTTAGGAGGAAAAGCCCCACCCTGCAAGCTAAGCTCTGCCGATCTATCAATCATCTAATAGGAACAGTTTGTGGGTCATTTTCTTCTGTTAAGGGAACAATGGGTGGCCTAAGCTTAGCCCTAAAGTCAGGAACACAAGTAAACAGGAACAAAATGAAGCAAGGGGCAAACTTGTAGAGTGCAGTAAATTAGCGCTGTCCCCCTAAGACAGGATTAGCAGAATCATCAGGTGAAAATAAAAAAAGTTTGAAAAATAAAAAACGAATACATGTACCATATCTAAGGAATGGTACGCTTCAATTTTTTTTTTTTTGGGTTTAAATACAATTTAAATTACACTTCATCTCAGAGAGTAGCAACATGTATGGGTGACAGTCGATTTTATACTGCTGGGGGGCCCTTGCCCTAACAGCTGGTCTGTCCTAGAGAAGAGTATAGTGCGGAGCTGTAAAACACACTCAGAACTGCTTGGGGCAAGCTTCACTCCATGCACAAATGGCCTACAGGTAAGGGGGGGGGGGGGGGGGGGGGGGGGAGTGTATTTTTAAAATCAGATTAGTTTAGAATTATGGAATGTTTGTGGAGTGCAAACTGATTTTTTTATAAAAAGGTGAGCTAAGCCTTTAACAGTGCTATAACAAGCAACAGATAGATCAGGCTGGTAATGGTCCTTCACAATGGTGGGGAGGAATATGACTCAGGCCTGTGGAATTGGAGTTACCTTTTCTTAGGTTTGTAACAAAGCTTTTACTCTTGTAAATAATGATTTCTGTTTCATTTTGCAGTGCCCCAGTAAATGCCTGGATGGAGGTTGGCAGGTAGGTTTTGTATGGGTGTTTTTATAGGGGTTGTACATCTGTAATATGTCCTTACACTGGGATATGGTGCCAATGTTCAGTTTTCAGGAAGAGGTTCCTGCTAGCGATCTAAACACTAGACAGCCTTATAACAGTCTTAGTCGATGGGCTTTTGTTCAAGTCAGATGGGTTTTGCATTCCCATACAAGTCTTTAGGACTGCAAAACCTGCTTGAAGCAGGTCAACTACAGGTCCAGTGCATCTGTCAGTGAATTCTGCATTAGATCAAACTGGTGGTAAACTGATGCAATTAACAGAAGTCCAAACTCAGATACAGGCCCTAATAATTCTAACTGGAAGGATTCAGGCAGGAGAGTGTCCTGAGAGTGCTCTACAGGGGCTGTATATCGTTGGTCTGTCCTTACACTGCAGAATGTATGAAGGTTCAGTTTCCATGTAGTGCTAGGGAGGTGAACACAAGACAGATTTATTATAATTACGTATATTATTGTGACGAATATGTTACCATTGTTAAATGAGCTAAAAGGCAGCTAGAACTAAAAGCTAAACTTTTTTCCATTTCTGAAAGAGCAAGTGATGATTAGAACGTTTCTTGCCATCTTTGTACCCATTTAGTATATTTGCCTTCACTTCCTGTCCTTAGCCAAGCAGGAAGTGAGAGGATCCCCATTTGTCACCAGAACAAGTGCCCCCTCTCTATTCCTGTTATGAGAACAACCCAAAGTTTGTGATTTTCATTCAGTTTTGGCAAAAATGGGTAAACAGGACAAATAGAAAGGGTAAATCTCCTTAACGGGACACAAGCAGCAATCCATCTGCACTGCAAAAAAAAAAAGTTTTGCTTTTTAGTTATACTTTATTATTTTATGTAGAATTTCCTGCTAAAGATCTGAACACAAGACAGCTCTATTATAATTCTAGCTAGAGGGAATCTGGCAGGTAGGTCTTGGGGTGCTCTACAGGGCCTGTATATCTCTGTTCTGTCCTTACACTGCAGGATGCATGAAGGTTCAGTTTCCATGTAATGCTAGGGAGGTGAACACAAGACAGATTTATTATAATTACGTATATTATTTGGGCTCTGTAGTGACGAATATGTTTAAGGAACCCTGACTGGTAAAAATAACTCTCTCAGAAGCCACGGATCACATTTCAAGGTTCACTGAGAACATGTCTGTCTGCTTACTCTGTGTCTTTAAATGTAAAAAGACATGGTGTAGTTCTTGGAGGTATATCTTTCCCCTGTGACAGCTGGCAGCATGGCCGGATACACGATTCTAGTCAGTGGAAGCTTGGCATCGTCTGCTCCTGTAAAGTTAGACAGCTGTCAGTACTCAGCTAGGTCGTGCTATAAAGTGCCGTAACGGTCACGTTTGCGGGCAAGTTTTATTGGGTCCAGGAACAGAGCCGTCTTCTTGGGTCCAGTACAGTAATAGGGGAATTAATGTGAGCCATCTACGATGGCCATAAAACATGAGATAAGGAGAGTGGTGGCAATGAGTCTTCTGCATGTATTGAGTGCCCTCTACAGCATCATTCAGGGGTGTGTTATAATGGCCAGTGACCAGATGTGTCTTTCATTGTCTCTGTCATGAATTGATGCTGATTTGAAGCCAAAGGGTAGTCACACCAAATATTGATTTGACTTAGATTTTTCTTCTGTTTGCATTCTGTAAATTGATAAAAACAAAGTGCGCAATTGAAAACATTCTTTTTAAACATTCTTACTTTGCAGCATTTCTTCATACCTGCCTAAAACTTTTTCACAGTACTGTAGGAGTCAGAGACCATATATTAATATCATAGAATTGTCCTTTATTACATAAACAAAGAAGATTTTTAGAAACCATTTAAAACAGAATCCCTATAGTTTACACCACAATATATTTTGGAAATACCTCTAAATGCAGATATACAATGCATACCATACCCATTAAAACTGTATATTGCCCACTTCATGTACTGCAGTATATACTGTACACAACATAGGTGGCTGTAGTCTTAACATATTTTGTTATCCGCTTCCTCAGGAGTTTAAAGCTATATGTAGATGAACTTATAGTTAACCAAATAGAACCTGGACTTTGCAATTACATGGTAGGACAGACACTACGGCTTTGTGGTGGCCGTCAGGGGGGAGAGAGAGATAACACCCAATAGCAGCTTTAAAATCATATGCCCATTTGATATAGTCCTTCATAAAGCATGAAATAGTTTTTTCCTAAGTTAAGTCAATGTATTAATGAGAAGAATTCTGTCTTTAAATGAAGTTGTCACATGTTGGCTGAAAGTTGAAAATAAGCATTCAGTGGAAGTGCTTAAGGAAAGGGGGCTCAGTGTGGGCATCATCTGCTTGCAGGCAGCAAGGTACCATGGGACATGTAGTTAGAAATTGGACGTATTGGCATCATCTGCTTGCAGGCAGCAAGGTACCATGGGACATGTAGTTAGAAATTGAAAATATGGGCACCATCTGCTTGCAGGCAGCAAGGTACCATGGGACATGTAGTTAGAAATTGGACATATGGGCATCATCTGCTTGCAGGCAGCAAGGTACCATGGGACATGTAGTTAGAAATTGGACATATGGGCATCATCTGCTTGCAGGCAGCAAGGTACCATGGGACATGTAGTTAGAAATTGGACGTGAACAACAGAGGAAATGCTGCAAAGCATACAGGGAATTCAGGAAGTTGTGGAAAGATGGCCAGCACTCACATGAAAGTTTTTTTTTTTTCTATTTTCAAGAAAACTTATATTGGATATCAATAATAATTGTTTTTCAATTTTTTTTTAACAGCATTATAATAATACAGAGTATGCTGTAACCATATATCTTGGCTATATGCTCCTTGTGACTTCCAACTCAGCAAAAGAAGTTCATGCACCTCTTTCCGTTTCCTTCATAGGTGCCGGTGTCAGGAAGAAGGATTTGATCTTGGAATTTGTTATAAAACGACTAAAGAATATGGATGTCAAACACACATACAACTCCCATACACACTGCAATGTTCTCATTACTTCAGATGCTCAGATTGTATTGTACTGTCGCACAGATACTTGACCTGGTTTTCTGCAGAAGACATGAGCTTGGATTGATGGTTTTTGTTGTTGATATTTTCTAGACTCTATGACAGGGTAGGTGAAATAATAGGAGTAACAATAGTACCGTAATAAAATATGTAAGTACTTTAAGTGAATTTGGGAGGTGAAATAAAACAAAGAATGCAGAATATTTGTAGAGCGTGTTTTCATTGTGAGTATTCTTCTGTAATACAGAGTGAGCCAAGTTACAGCATCCATCCCTGATTACCGCATTGGTCAACCTCATAGGACCCTTTAAGATCAAAGGGAACCTTCAGTTTAAAGACTCATGAATGTGGACATGAACAGGTTAAAAAGTCCTCTAGCGTAAGACTCCCGGCTCCCTCCTGCACAACAGGGGCCACAAGTGGTGTGTACAATGGCTGAATAGCTGTATGTGACTGCACTCATGTAAATTGCCAATGATTCCATCCTAGGGCATGTACCCATCCCATGTGTGTACGGTGTATTATTATTATTATACAGGATTTATATAGCGCCAACAGTTTTACTCAGCGATTTACAATATAACGGGAGACAACACAGCAACAATACAGTTCAATACAAGAGGGGTAGGAGGGCCCTGATCCTTGGAGCTTACAATCT